GAGAGAATTTCAGTCGCAGTAAAAGCTTTTATGACAGCAGATCTACCTCACGAGTTGATTGAGCTATTGGAAAAACTTGTTCTTCGTGGCAGTGGTTCTTTTGCCAACAACCGAAACTTGCAAAACTTGTTGATTCTTACTGCTATAAAGTCAGATACATCGAGAGTGATGGATTATGTTCGAAAATTGGATAATTTCGATGGCATGGATATCGCACCTGTCGCCATTGATGCAGGATTGTATGAAGAAGCCTTTGAGATTTATTGCAAGTTTAAGCAACCAGAGGCTGCAGTAGACGTTTTGTTGGAACAAATTGGAGATTTGAACCGCGCAACGGAGTTTGCAGAGAAAGTCAACTCACCAATGGTTTGGAGTAAACTTGGCATTGCAAGATTAGAACATGGAGATGTTGTTGGCGGTGTGAATGCTTTGTTAAGAGCTAAAGACCCTGCACCCTATCAAAAAGTAGTAGAAGCAGCGAGAGCAACAGATGGAGATCAATCGGCATTTGAAGCAGTCATCAAATTCTTACATATGGCGAGAACCAAAGTGAAAGATCTTGTATTTGTGGATACTGAACTAGTCTATGCTTTCTGTGTTTGTGACCGTTTGAATGAAATGGAAGAATTTGTTGCTGGTGCTAATTCTGCCAATTTAGAGGAAGTTGGCGATCGTTGTTTTGATGAGCAACGATTTAATGCGGCTAAAATCTTATTTAGTAAAATTGGTAATTTTGCCAAATTAGCACCCGTTCTTGTATGTCTTGGAGACTATTCCGGAGCTGTTGAAGCCGCAAAGAAAGCAGATCGTCTGAAGACATGGAAACTAGTTTGTTATGCGTGTCTAGAAGCTGAAGAACTTCATCATGCACAAGTTTGTGGTCTTCATATTATTGTTGAACCGGAAGAGTTGGACGAGATATTGCAGTTTTATCAAAATCTTGGCTATTTCGAAGCGGCTATAGAACTACTAGAAGGTGGAGTTTCTTTAGAACGAGCTCATGCGGGCATCTTTACGGAACTTGGAATACTCTACTCTAAATATCGTGAAGAGTCTTTGATGGACCACTTAAAGATGTGGTGGCAACGTTGTAGCATTCCCCGTTTGATTCGAGCTACGGAGGCTGCTTCTCAGTGGCCAGAACTTTGCTTCTTATATATTCGTTATGACGAGTTGGATAATGCTGCTAATATTATGATGAATCACTCACCTTCCTGTTGGTCACATTCAGGTTTCACAGAAGTCATGTCAAAAGTCACAAACACTGAAATATTATATCGTTCGGTGGAATTTTATTTGGATGAACATCCCAACTTACTGAACGAGCTTCTTTCGTTGATTTCCACGAAAATCGATTCTGGTCGTGTAGTATATATTGTGCGTCGTGCAGGTGAACAAGAAATGGGTCCATTGGGCTATCTGCCAATTGTCAAACCTTTCTTAATGAAAGTTCAAGAGAACAATATTGCTACAGTCAATGAAGCACTTCATGATATATTTGTCGATGAGGAAGACATAGCTAGTCTTAGACAGTCCATCCAGAAATATGATAACTTCGACCAATCGGAACTTGCAAGATTATTGGAACAACACGAATTGGTAGAAATGAGACGTGTTGCTGTTGATTTGTATTGTCGAACCGGAAGACATGAAAAGGCATTAGAGCTGTGTAAGAAAGATAGTCTCTTTCGTGATGCTGTTGCAACTGCAGCAGACAGTGGAAATTCGGAAATGGCAGAGAACCTTGCGAGATTCTTTTTACACAACAATCGGCCAGAGTGTTTTTCATTCTGTTTGTATTCCTGTTACGAGATTATTCGTGCTGATGTAGCATTGGAATTGAGTTGGCAGCATCAAGCTACTGACTTCACTATGCCTTATATGATTCAAAAATTACATGATCTTACCTCGAGATTGAGCAGACTGGAAAGTGAAAGAGCTGCACAACTCCAGCGCAAGAAAGAAAAACAGCAAGCACAGGAAGCAGAAATTAATGAGGATCCTTCTATAGTTATTCAAGGATTACAACCAACCCAACAGACACCCATGCTGGGATATGGACCTTTTGGAAACGGACCTTCTGCATATTCCCAGAGTGGTTTACTTAGTTTACCTCCGGCACCTGGGACTTGGAACAGTCAAATGAACTTCCAGCCTTCTCGTTCTTCGTAGTGTGGATTGTTTTTAATAAAAATTGTGATTTTGTTCTAAATTCTGTCGTCTCTGAATGACAGAACTGGGTAGCACCAGACAGCCATCAGGTAGTGGAGAGGCGCAAAGTATATCTAGACAAAATGAACAACACAAGGAGGCTATCGACAGCTTAGTTGCCATGTTTCCAAACTTGTCACATGCAGAGTTATCAAACGCCTTAGAAGCCAACAGTTTTTCAGTTCAACGAACCGTCGACTACATCCTTTCTGAAAAGACTTCAGTCTCATCACCAAAGATAACAGCCGAAGACGCTGCAGAGGTTGCTGCGCGGATAGCTCAAGTAGAGGAGGACGAACGTTTGGCTCGTGCCTTGCAAAGTGCTTTCGAAAGAGAAAACACTGCCCAAAGACAAGCAGTGTCTCAAACAGGTGGGGATCCAGATGCAGCGCAGCCTCCTTTAATGGACAAGTTAAAGTTGTATGGTAGAGGTAAGAGCTTCCTTGTGCAAGTTATTGAATAATGAACGACCGTTGGAAACAGCCGCAAAGGCAAAGTTCTGGGAACTCTATGAATCCTATCTTGGAGATGGCTCGGGAACAAACAGTATCGCGGGAGTACAACCTATCAGGTCGGACGGTTACAGTTCAGTTCCAAATACAGATGAAGTAGCGGTTGCAAGGCGAAGCAATTCAGAGGAGTTTCAAGGTTCGACTTTGCTTAGAAGGCACTGGAATCAAGGCGAGAACACGTCTTCGACGTATCGACAAGGTTAGTTTTGTATGTTAAACTGTCTCATATAGCCATCTAATGTTAGTTTATGTCAGCGAATAGCAAACGGGCGAACGCGGACTATGGCGATGGAAAGAAAGATAAATGAGTTGTTCTGTTCATGGTTTATCTTTTCGTTGTTGTTTCATAATATAGTTGGAACCTATTTATCTTTTCTTGTCATGAGAAATGGAAGCTTGTAACCAAGGATGCTCCTGAAGTTCAAATATAGTGGGTCTTCCAGGAGGATCCTTTGTCATTGCATGCCGAATAAAGCTTTGCAGGCTATCTGACAATCTGGGACTTTGTGGAAATATAAGAGGCTTTACACAGATGAACTCGTACATTTCAAACAAATTTTGTCCCTCAAATGGAATATGTCCAGTAGCAAGAAAGAAGGTTGTAGCTCCCAATGACCAAACATCTGGTGCAAAACGGTATTGAAAACTTGTAGAGGGACATTTGTCTGAAGTTAAACAAAGCTCCGGAGCACACATTGCTGGTGTTCCTTGTAACCTTGTAGGCCAATCATTGTTGCTCTCCGAATCTGAAAAGTAGTCACTCTCACCAAAGTCACCAAGTTTTACCACAAGATTGTTGCACATTAAGATATTATCAGGCTTCAAATCATTATGCGTTATTCCTTGGCTATGTATATAACACAAGGCCTGAACAACCTGAAATATTATTCTTCTCAATACATCTTCCTTTAAAGTCGTAACATTTCGGTTGTCTTGTAAACGCATTATGGGTCCTCGGCATGCATACTCCATCACTAAATAGAAACAGTTTAGTTTTGGGTCATCGTACAGTTCGTACAATCTCAAAATATTTGGATGGCGAAGTTTCATCATGACTTTGCATTCAGTCAACAATTTCTCCACGCCAGTCTTCGTCTGAAAAGAGCTTAGTAGCTTCTGTTTGTATATTTTCTTTACTGCAACAAATCTTCTACGACGAATAGAAAAGGACAATTTCACTTTTCCATATTTGCCTTGTCCAATCTTCTGCAATAGAATAATATCATGATTGAGAACTCGCTTTTGAAGCAATGGTTTGTTCTTCCAACTGCCATCCACCCACTCCGAAAAACTATTCATATGAGATTTCTTACAATCTTCTGACTTAAGGCTTTGAGAAAGCAACCTAACCAATGAATGATAGAAATATGAGGCATTCTCTTCCTTTATGAAAAGTAACCGTATCTTTTCTCCCCATTTCAATGAAAATGAAACATAATTTTGCTTGTGTTCAAAATACAAAATATTCTCAAATGGGATCACACGAACAATCGTGTTCCCTCCGTTTAAAGGTTCCAATAATATATTTTCTAAACCTTCGTCTAATAGCAGTTTTGCTCTATTCTTCCAAAGAATCCTGTATTTCCAACTAACTTCTACGCCGCAAAGAAGAGCTGCCATCTTTTCCAATAAAGAAACTCTCGCAGAGGGCTTTTCTCTTCGTTGTTCAACACTTACGTTGGACGAATCAGAAGTTGACTGGAAATCCGAAACCTTTCCAGAGAATGACAGCTGGTGGAAAAGAGAGTTAAGCACAGCAAAATTGTTACTTTCTTTACACTCCAGGTCTGAATGGCACAACTGTGACGGTTCGTTGACGGTATTCAACTGAACACTTTGCTCCAGGTACCTTTGGAATTTTTCTCTTCTGACGGAAGAGACTTCGTAATCTGGCGGTTCAAGCTCATCTATTTCATCTATCTTTGCTTTGAAAGTTCCTTCTTTTCTTTGGCTTGGACAACTTTGCATACAGAGGAACAAGCTGTCTAAAATGAGATCTCGCTTCAGCGTCTCCCACGAGCTAAGACAAAATTCAAATATATTCTTTCAAATTCAACTTCATTCCAATTGACAGAAACAAATTTTGCGAGCATTTAAAAAGTCGCAATTCTTATCATATTTACAATATAGTCGCCCTGTAAAAATATTAAGGGATTTTGAATGAGAAAACTAAGTTTACTTCTATAAGGATATTATAAACTCCATTGAATGCCTTTTCCCTGTTTCAACGACAGTAATTTAATATGAAAATACGTAGAGGGCAAAACGCTAACCTTTCGAACAGATAAGGCATAGCCGAACAGTTCTATTTTATGAAAATGCTTTGTCCCATATATTGAATATTTGGCAATATGACTATATCTTATCTCTCACAGAGAACGTTTGATTAAGCAAGTTGCATATTTGAACTGTCTCAATCTAATGGATGGTTCCTCAAACTAACATGCTGATGCAAAATGATACTTCTGTGAGTTCAGGTGCTAAAGATTTGAATATGTAACTCTCAAACTTTGAGTCACAGTTGCGATAAAATTTTTAGTTCAATTCCAACTTTCACCTGCAGTGTTTAGACTGAGCACAAGTGGATATTTTACAATGTCTTCTTATCTTCCGCTTGGCAGTCGTTCGATATTCAAAAAACTGCCATTAAACATTGCGCCTATAGTTGAATTGGCTTCGATATTGAAGCTTATTTAGACATCAAAAGTTCCCATCATTTGCAAAAAGTATAGTTATGAAGCAGTGCTTTTATGGAACAATGTGACAGCATATACCTGTTTTGTAGAAGCTTCTTCAATCGCAAAATCTGGAATTGGTTCGAATGTCTGATAATCCTACAAAAAACAATTGTTTTGTAACTTTGGAGTCGAATTTTCTAGCAGTTCTATCAATTCGGGTCAAATGAGTTCAGTCCAATGCGCAAAGACTTTTCATAGAATTGCAAGAATAAATTATTGAATTGTTCCAATTTTTTTAGAAACCGAGCAAAATTTTGTATCTTAAACGATGAGAGTAATCCTTTGCGCCATTCGTGTTGAAAGAAAAGTAATTCGTCCTCTGCTGTTTCAGTTTCAAAACGCTTGGATCTCGCGAATTGAGTCGTTGACTCATACAGTTTGTTTAACATTTTACTTTGAGATTAAAAATCACAGAGTTCTCTAAATGAAATCTATAAACGTCGGAAAGCAAGAAGAGCATACCGCTTTGTGACTATTATAGATAAATTCCAACCTACTTTCTGCCTATCTAAAGTTTACAGAGGGTCACCTTAAACATAAAAATGAGTGGAGAATATTAATAAACGACGACTCAAGAAACTTCTACGACTAGGAAGCAATTCCAAATTCGAATAACCTTTGTGACTGCAAAAGAACAACTGAGAAAATACTCTCAAACTACTATCTCATTATATAATCACGTCGACGATAAGTTTGTGAGCGATAATTAAACTTGAAGGTTCAATTTCACAAAAGTCAATAACCTTTTTGCCTATCACAAAGAAGCAAAACATTCACAGATATTGTAACTTCTAGTCATTCTAAGCAACTTCTTCGTAGAAAGAATGATAACGGTCATATCCAAGCTGAGTTGCTTACAGTCCATCGTCAAAAAAGGGTTCTCGTATGAGATTGTTGTTAAACTGACTAGGTCCTGTTCCAGTCTTTGTCTCCATTACAGTTTGTGCGTAAAGATTACAAAAGGGATACCGGCCTAAAAATTCCCTTGAAAAAGGATAGCAAGAAGCATCTGCAACATATTTCAAGCGCCTTCTAGCAGAAAAAATATTTTCCCTAAAAGGAAACGAGTGGAATTTCACTAAAGGAAAATAAAAGTGAAAGTTTCGTCAGGCTACTTTATAGCTATTAAGGCATAGTTTGGTCTCATTATTCTTTAAATGCTTCGTTAAATTGGTTTTTGTACATTGCTGTATCTTTGAATATTTAAGAATAGGAAAAATGACGTAACAGAAGATCCTTCGTAAACATCCGTTGTTGCTGGCGTGAGTACTGTTGATTGTATCTTGTTCCTGTTGTTATGAAGACCGTATTGTTTTCGTTCAAGTTACAAGGAAGGAATCAGTTAAAACTAAGATTGTTGCGACAGAAAAACAAAGTTGAGCTTAGGTTTACTCGAATTTCCAATTTGTGCTGAGGCCTCCTATAAAGCCAAAGTGATAGACGAATTTCTCTCAATCTCGATGAATCGACAATCTGGAAAGAAAGATGACGTTCTAGAAATTCAGGATCGAATGATTCTATCTAAAAAGACAGCGATTCAATGAATCTGTCATGTCGATTCAAAGCAAGCGACAGATTATCTCATGAAAGGCAAATCTTTTTCTATAAAGGAAGATAATCTTCAACTCATTTATTAGCATTTTTACTGATTTGAGATGCAGCAAAGTAACCAACGAATTCTGCAGTCTTCCTTGGCAGCTAGTATTGTCTTACTGTTCAGTATAATTTGTACGGTTTATGCAGTAACAGAGGAAAAAGTAATCCCCGTTGACAGAGGATACACAGTTTCGCCTACTCAGACGCAACAATGTCAAAAGGTGAAGTTTTAGTACCAACTATAGTCAAATGGTGTCATGAAGTAACCTTTTTTACTTTGTAGATCTGTGTTACTGCCACACAAATTCAAACTCAAAGTTGTATTTATACTCAAACACAGGTAGAAGGACCCAGTCTATAGTAAAGACTTCAAGATTTATTAATGTAATAGGCTCCGTATTTGTCTCAATGTGTGACCGCAATGCCAACTACCTGTTATAAATATGTGACGAAATATAAGGAAGTTTGCTGTGAACAAGAGTATGAACAGCAGAATTATCAACAAGAACAGGTTTGTCAGCAGGTATGTCATTAATATTTTTTTTATAGTCATATATTGAAAGGGCTATGATTTATAGTACTGTCAACTTTCTTATCAACAATCTGTGAGTTATCCATGTCAAACTCAGGTATTGAGGTACCTTTCCTATGCTGCTCATATAGTTAACAGTTACACTAGATTTACTATCCATGTCAAGAATACAAGCTGGTAAAACTGCAGCAATGTTGCCAAATTCCAAAATTAAAATGTGTTCAATACACCCAAGCATGTATAACCCAACAAGTTCAAGAGGAGCAGGCACAACAGCTGGCTCAACAGGAAGAGCAACAAGTCGAACAGGAAGCGCAACAAGTTCAGCAAGTTGAAGAAGCTCAACAAGAGAATTATTATGGATAGAATGTTTATCTTGACTTTTATGTTTGATGAATCGTGCCAAAGAAGCACGGGAATGTTTGCTCGCTATTTTTCATTTATATAATATAAAGATGTTCTGATTTGCTATTGTTTCATCTATATTCATATTTCTTCTGGGTCATGTCTTTTCAAGTGATAGCTTTCAGATGAGAGAAATGGCTGAGGAAAATGCCATAATATAGAGTTTCAGTTTCATACTATACAAGTTGAAAACTTGTAAGTACTTGTGCCTTTGTTTAAAATAGAGCAAAATATCTGTTCCAAGTGATTAGTGGTTAGAATCTTAGTTTTTCGATGTTTCTGAGTCTATTCTAGGGAAGATGCCTTTCAAGTTTATATATCACTTTTACACCTTTATACAAAGGTATTCACCCATGAACTTCTTCGACTTCATTGGTTACTAGTAGTACATCTTCTACATAACAACGACAAGCTATAAACAAGAGTCCCTCTGGAAAGAAGAAACCATTAAATGTGAAGGCACCAAGTAAAGTTTCGACTTTGAAATCGAAATGGGAGAGAATTCGAATTAGAATTGCATAAATAGTGAAAACTTGCAAAGACTCTTTTCGAAAATTCAATACGACTTTTGGAAATATACCAACTTGCTAGATGCACGCTTTCTTTCCATGGCCAAAATATTCTCGACTTATTCAGTCATCGCCCCTACGAGCTAAAAATTTAACATTTTGAATACTGTGCAGAATGTCGATGCTTATTATTGCGATTTTACTTTCAAATTGCCGTATGTAGCAGTATGGAGTGTTCAGATAGATGCCACAAAAATGAATCTAAAGAAAATGTCCGATCTGTTTTGAGAAACAAAAAACACTTCTTCCAGGCAGATAGCTCTTCTACATAAGCTTGCTGCAATTGAATCATAAAGTTTTTTTCCTTGTAAACTTGAAATATTTTCAAAGTGAAATAATGTCCAAACACAATTTGACTACGTGCTTGACATATTCATCTAGTGCAACTTCCTAAGGCTCCAGTAGCCCTACAGAAAACTAAATTTTTCCGGTAGAACAAACAGTGTGATCTATGCTCCTCAGTATTGTCGATAATGGACGACTTGGGAACCTGCATTTCTAACCTTAATACTTGGACTGTGAATACAACAGGTAAATCGGTTTCAAACCACCAGAATATCTTGAAAAGAATCAATGGCAACCATCTTTTTACACAAAGTGTTATTGTCTAGGTTTGTTTTTTTCCCTTCAGTTCTGAATACACTTAAGCTTTGTTTATTAACAGAAATTGGTCCAACTGTCGAAGAGTTGGCTCTGTCACCTTGCAAGTTAATACACTAACAAGTATTAAAACAACTGGGCTGGGCTGTTTTAAATTATTTTTGGCACTTAAGAAACCACAAAAACTTTGATTACGAAGATGACGACGAAACAATCAATCAATGTTGATTTACAAGTCGAAGATTAGATTAGATATGTTTGAGCTATTTGGGAACTAGTCTTTTTAGGCAAGTGACTCGCCACAACGACATTTTGAATCAATGGCGTTGAGATTAAAGTTTCGACTAATAAGAACTTTTGTAATCACAACGAGTGGGTTGATAGTTTACACTCTTGCAGATAAGTTTTATGAGCCTGTTCTAAAACCCGCACTTCAACTTTTGGACCCCGAATCAGCCCATGACTTTGCCATTTTTGCCGCAAAACATGGCCTCGTTCCGAAGGATAAAGGAAAGGATTGGGTCTGTAGACTTCTTTCGTGTCTTTTGGATTTGGAGACTAAACGCTTCCTAGTCCGGTCTTGCTTGCGAAGTGTGGGGAAGACAATTCGAAAATCCTATCGGTCTAGCAGCAGGATTCGATAAACATGGAGATTGTGTCGATGCCATGTTATCAGCTGGGTTTGGATTTGTGGAAGTTGGTTCAGTAACACCTGAACCACAAGAAGGAAACCCCAAACCTCGAATATTTCGACTAGAAAAAGACCGAGCAGTCATTAATCGATGTGGTTTTAACTCAGTTGGAAGTAGTGTGGTTTCCGAAAGATTGCGAAAACGTCTCGTCCATATTCACGCCGCACAACCGGGCGTTGTTGGTGTTAATTTAGGAAAAAACAAGGATACAGAAGACGCCAAGTTGGATTATGAAAAAGGTGTGGTGGCTTTCGCAGATATTGCTGATTACTTGGTTATCAATATTTCCTCGCCGAATACTCCTAGTCTTCGAAACCTCCAACAGAAGAATCAACTGGCTGATTTGTTGGAACATGTCATTGCAATTCGAGACGCCACGTTGAAAGAACTTTCACCGAAAGGAAGGCCGCCTATATTGGTAAAGATATCTCCCGACTTGACGGATGAAGAGCTAGCTGTATGTTTCCAAATCGACTTTTTTTATTCATTCGTCATTTTGTAAGTTAGGATATTGTGACTACCTGTATGCGACTTTCGGTGGATGGAATTGTTATTTCCAACACAACTATTCAGAGACCTCATGGCTTATTGGAACAACAAGTGGCAATGCAGGAGGGTGGTCTGAGTGGTCCTCCTTTAAAAAATATTTCCACCTCGATTATTCAAAAGGTTTATCGGATGACAAATGGAAGGTAATCATAGCAGTTTTTCTTATACTGAGATGAAAACTTGAATAAGACTGGTTATCGTTGGCGTTGGAGGTGTATCCTCCGCTGAAGACGCTTATGACAAGATAAGAGCGGGTGCTTCCTTAATCGAACTATACACTGCATTGGGTAAGAAACACTTTCTTCGCTATATTTACTGAAGATGCAAATAATGCGATTTTAAGCCTATGAAGGTCCTGCACTTATTCGGAAAATCAAAATTGGACTTTCTGAATTGTTACAAAGGGATGGCTTTCAGTCTGTTCAAGAAGCAGTAAGTACTTACTTCTTGGTTAACATTATCTCTTACTTTACGCATAAGATTGGCAAAGATGTTTTTGTTTCTACTTCGCAAGATGGAATGAGGAATTAATCGATATTCATCTTGGATGCCGATGAAATCTTTTGATTCAAAAATGAAACCATTCCAGCCCGTTCTACTATAGTTGCACATATAACTAGTTTGAAGTATATTGGAGAATTCTCTTGAAGAGTAAAATTTTTGTATCCTTCATATATCATCAACGCTTGTGTTTAAAATGAAATATTATGTTTGCT